TTTAGCTTCTCTCATTCCTTGGAGCCCCAGACCAGCAGAGACTCCCTATTCCTGAAGAAGAATGATTGCACCCAAAAGCTTGCTAAGAACTTTTTTCTAGCTGCTCCGTTGGTCTAGTAAAAGATATCACATCTACCCAAAGAATCTTGCCTGTCCTATGTCCTTTCTTTATTCACTGCTGCTGTTAAACTAATATTGGTGACACCATGATCAAATCCTTTCTGAATAGTCTGTTAACATATATGTCATGAACTCCTCCAAATGCTGGGGATTCAGCATTGGGATGTTGTGAGCTTTTCTAGGGAGAGGGGACATTTCTAAAAGATTGATCTTGGCTGTAATTTACATAGTGAGAATTTAGATACCATATGACCTCAGTCATCTTGAGTTAAAGCCACAGATTGAAAAGAGGAGTTGGTGGTAGGTGGTTGATGCAAAAATATTATCTTCTGGTTACTTTTCTTTGTGGTGGCTTTCATTTGTATCAAGACAAGACAAATTGTTCAGTATGTCAAAATACATCCAGCCCTGAAGTCATGGATATAAAAAGAGTTCTTGTACCATGTGTCTTGATGGGCTAAGAGTCTGCACAGTGTGTTCTGCCAGCTTATAATAGCTAACATTTCCTGAAGTTTAGGATTTTTTTCTTCTTAAATAAAAATTTCAGAAACCAGAATTCCAAATGGAATCATCTATTAAAAAATATAATGAATGAAAAATAAAACATACACTAGTTTGCAACGTTGATGCAGCAAAACACATCTGTATAATAGTAAGCTCCAAAGTCTCATAGCAATTAATGAATGCTGTTTGGAAGTCAAATTTATAAATAGGGTTGGTCAGAATATTTCACAAATATGATTTTTCTTTGCAAAATGCTGATTCACCTAAATCAAAATCTTTCTTTGTGAATGTGCCTGGCTTACTGGCTATTTTAGAGTGAAAGGATGTTAGGCACTATACATGGGCATAGACTCTGCAGGAGTGTGGTAATTACTGCACTCCAGCAGACTCCAGTGTCATGGGTATCAGCATCCCTGCACTGAAAAATGGTGGCAGGGGTGCTTTAACTAAAGCTTGTTTGATGAAATATAGTTGAAGTGCCCCTGCCACCATTTTTCAGCACAAGGACACGGACACACGTGACGATCTGGATGCTTTAATTAAAGTGGCTCCTCAGAGTCACTCTAATTAAAGTGCCTTCCTTCCCCCCCACCCCCACCCTGGCTTCCTGAAGCACATATACAAACATCCATTTTAGTTGTATTTCAGAAGGTCTACATTATTTTCAAATACAGAAGCGGAGAATGTTTTGGAATTGTGACGATAGATAATGGCATGTCTTGCTTGGATCTATTTGCATGCTTAAAAAAATGTTTTAATCTGGTTATCAGCTGGCTGATACATTTGTTTTGGAAAACATTGCTGTTTAGTGATAGAACTGGAAAGTGGAATTTTTGTTGATTTCCATT